TTCCAACCACATAGTAGTATTTGGTATTGAACTGCAGAAGAACAGATTTCATCAGATCATAATACAAGTTGCAAGTTATACTTATCAATTCAATCGGCAAATTCCGAAACCCAATTATATCTTACATGGAGTCCATATCAAAACTTACCATTAAATTTCTGACAGTGGTGTGGTGAATGTAACCGGAAGTGTAATTGTAGAATTTATAGGTTGTAATTTTGCCCTCGGCCTTCTTTTTCTTGCTGTTTGCACTCCAGTAAAGCACACTACTGGAACCGGGTTCATCCACAGTAACCCATGAAACGATCACTGCCTTTCCCAGTTGGTCTCCTTGTGTAATATGAACCTTAAGTCAAAAGGGCACACGTTTCATACAACTACTTAAAGTTTGTTAAGTCCAAGTACATAAACAATGTATAAATTAATGAAAGACACAAATTAAACAAGAAAGGCATAAAGAAATAACTAAATTTAACAAAGCTCTTCCATGGCAGGTATTCTAAATTGAGCTACCATTGACTAAAAGCCTCATAATTCTAGAGAGAGAGAAAGAGAGAGATTACTTGTTGCGGTGCATTATAGCCAGGAGGGACTTTGAAGACATCACTGTCAAGAGGCATGTCCACAGTCTTCTCAACTTTCCTCACAAAACTACTAGTTTTGCCTCCATTGCACACCACTCCAAAGCTCAAGACCAAACCCAGCACTACAATAGTGGCCGCTGCTGCCCTTGAAGAAGCTAAATCCAGCACACCCATCTTGCTCAGATTAGCAGAGGACCCTCAAACCCCACAAACCCACATGTACCCTTTTAAGCATACGACCAACATTTGATCTATGTATATACAATTCAATAATTATATGCTAATACTATGTGCTTGACTTCACACTCACAGACGACTTCTTTGTCATTGTTGACCAAGTACGCAAAATAATCTGGACAAGTAGAGTCGTGTGCACACTACCGTTCATACGACGGAAATAGTAGAAGAGTAATGCGGTTTATATTATGTTTTTATGTCGTATTTCTATATTAATTTAGATGGCATCTGATCTAGACAACTACATCATTTAAAAAATTTGTAAAACCCAAAAAAGAAGAAGGGAAAAGACTCTTTGTATACCACAATCATCATTTAATTAATTAGTTTTTCTTAATTATTAGTTTATTAAATAATGAATTAAATTTAAAATTTTGATTAATTCAAATAATGTGGCTGTTCATATCAAATGCCACCTAAGATGGTATGAAAATGTAGTACAAAAATATGATATGAATAACATTACTCATTGTAGAATATAGCTATTGGATGTTGACTAAAGGGCCCAAGAATTAAATTGGTAGATTTGAACACTAGGTCATGCATACTATACGATATTACATCTCATACCAAAGTTGACAATTAAACTTTGCACTTGTGTCATGAATATAGAACAATCATTCTAAGAAAAAACGTCACTAATACACATTGGATGCAATGTTTTAGGGTTATTATCCAAAATGGTCCATAAGATTTGCATAATCAATAGAAATAGTTCATGCAATTGAAAATGAATAGAAATAGTCTCTAAGATTGTCCACCATCCATGATTTTGGTCATTTTGTTAAAAACGATTTTGGGCAATTTTCAAAGCTTTGTAACTCAATCGTTTCTTAACCAAATTCGACCCATAATGTATCAAAATGAAGATAGGAAAGTGTAGAATAAGATTATACCTATTTGGAAGCCCAATGGTTGTTGGAGATGGCAGGAAAATAGCCTGAAAGGTGATTGGTCAGCAGAAAAACTGGAAAACTCGCCGGAAACTGGATAAACTTTAAACGTTCATAACTTCTTCAATACTCAAAGAAATCGAGTGATTCAAAAGCAAAAATAATACTTGGTTCTACAAAGTATAATACAATACTCAACGAAATCGAATTAGTGTATGGCTATTCTTCACCTCATATCACACTATATGAACTTGGTTCTACAAAGTTTGCTTCTGTGGAGCAATGCTTGGTTGAACGAGACAAGGTTTTGGAGATTCTTAAAAAGAACCTTGCACTAGCTCAAGCAAGGATGAAGTCACAAGCTGATCAAAAGCGACTTGAATGAAGTTTTGAAGTTGGCGATATGGTTTATCTGAAACTTATTCCTTATCAACTCCAATTCTTGGCTGCACACAGTTGTCACAAACTGTTACCCAGGTTCTATGGTCCCCATAAGGTTCTCAGCCGAGTAGGTGATGTGACTTACAAACTGGAACTTCCTGCAACTTCTAAAGTCCACCATGTTTTCCATGTCAACAATCTCAAAAAGCACTTGGGTCCAAATGTGGTAGCCACTAACTTATTGCCCCAAGTTACAGAAGATGGTCTTCAACAATTGGTTCTTGCCTCCATTCTCGCCAGGCGCATGTATAAGAAGGGTCATTTTGCAGGAGTCCAGTTGCTTGTTCAGTGGCAGGATCAAGATGCCAATTCTACAACGTGGGAGGACTTTGACGACTTCCAAGCTCGATTCCCTGCTTTCTCTCTTTAACCTTGTGGACAAGGTTTTCTCGAAGGGGGGGCGGGAGTAATGTTATGATCTTGCTTCCGGCCTATTAGGAATTACTAGATCACTATGGGAGTAGTAGTTAAATAAATGGGATCAAGTTGTAATAGTGTAAGGACTAGATTGTAATAGTCTTCTTAATTGTGGGTCTTAGGTTTAATTGAGTTGTCTGTTGTGCCAGTGGACACTCACGCAATTGTAATGGCTGGTTGGTGGTTTAAGAGCCTCAGCTAGTGGTCTTGCAAGCATATATGAAAACAAACAAAATTTCCTTTCTTCTTGCTATGCAATTCCTTTTACCCAGTATTCGCCATTGTCATACAGTCAAGGTTGTAGCTAGATATTGGATTGGGTCATATTATATACCATGCTAAAACGAAACAAAAAAACATGGTGAAAAACTCCTTGATTGTAATTCTCCAGTTAACTCAAAATCCCACTGGCTCTCTTCCCTACAAACCTCCTCTTCTTCCTCAAGAGTGCAATCGTTCTTGATGTTGGAGGTCTTGGGATCTTTTAAGGTGTCTTCCCCCTAATCATGTCCACCACTGTCTGACACCTCAAATCAAGCCGACCCTTCATGTTGAGATAGTTTGCAACCAATATTAGGTCAAAGAGAGTGTTCTGGTTGATCTTCATCATGAACTCATCGATCTCCATCAGCAGCAGCCCCTTCGTCTTCACGTTGCCTCCTGTAGTACTCGATGACCTTCGCCAAGATGACGCTTGTCATGTTGACAGAGGTATGGCATTGTCGGAGATCAATTCCTTTTTTGTTTCCCATACTAGTTTGGTAAATCTAAGAAATATTGTCATACTTGATATAGGAAACTATTTTTATGGTCGTCTTTTTTTCTCCATGAATATGAATGATCTCGTTCATTTATTTATCTCAACTTTTTTCATATGTAATCTTATATAGTGTGAACGTCACACCATCACGTGATGTTATTAATTCATTTATATTTCATCGCTTACATCTGCTTCCATGCCTAAATGTTAAGGGTTCTTGTTGCCGCTAGTAATTTAGCATCTTTTCCTATGCCAAGCAAGAGCTATTAAATATTAAAATAATAATAAAAAGTAAAAAAAAAAAGTGAAAATAACCCTAAGTTCGTCCCTCCCCTCCCCTCCCCCTCCCCCTCCCCTCTCTTCTCCCCATCTTCATCTTCTCCACCCCCACCTGCAAACCCCAAAAAAAAAAAAAAAAAATTTGAAAACCCGTCGACCCCCCCCCCCCCCTGCGGAAGAAGAAGAAGAAGAAGAAGAAGAAGAAGAAGAAGAAGAAGAAGAGGAAAAAAAGGAGAAGGAGGAAGGAAAAAAAAAATTTGAAAACCATAAACCACCCTGTGGAAGAAGAAGAAGAAGAAGAAGAAGAGGAAGAAAAAAAAAAAATTAATCCAACCCAACCCCGTTCGGCACCCCCCCCCCCCCCCCCCAAACCACTTGCAACCCAGAAAGAAGAAGAAGAAGAAAGGAAAAAAAAAAAAAAACTCAACCCAACCCAGTTCGTGTACCCCTACAACCCAGAAAAAAGAAGAAGGAGAAGAAAAAGAAAAAAAAACAAATCCAAAGTGAACCCATTTCGTCACCCCCCCCTTCCGCCCAAAACCCAACCCCCTACCAACCCCAAATCCACCACTCTCCACGTCCTCTTCCACACCCATCCTCCACCTTCTCTGCACACCCATCTTCCCACCGACGGGATCTGGGATATTTTTTTTTTTTGGGTTGCAGGAGGGAGAAGAGGGGGTGGGGAGGGGGGAAACTGAGTGTGGGTGCGGGGGAAGACAAATTGGATTTTTTTTTTTTTTTTTTTTTGGGGTTTGCAAGTGGGGGGAAGAAGATGAAGATGGGGAGAAGAGAGAGGAGGGGGAGGGACGAACCGAGGGTTATTATTATTTTTTTTACTTTTTATTATTATTTTAATGATTTTTTTTAATAGAAAGTAAGCCCCGAATCAAGTCATGTCAACATTTAACTAAAAAGTAAACGGCCAAGTAACGGAAGGTATAACATTGGACCAAATTCTAAAGATGAGGTATGACATTGTCAATTTTAAAAGATAAGGTATGAAAGTGTCGTGACACCAATAGTTGAGGTAGTTTTTTATACTTTACCCAATATAATAATACGTTTTTTTAAGGGGAAAAGCTTTACTAGTTGAGTTTGAAATATTTAGGTTCGTTTAACTATCATGTCATTTTTAGTTTTTAGTTTTCATGTTTGAGATATGAGAAAACTATGAGGAAAAAGAGGAATGTATAAAGGGATGAATTAAACTAAGAGAACGATTGAAAACAGGATCTAAAATAGTTTTTGGCTTTTAGTTGTCAAATTACTTTCTTCCATTTAAGGTTGTAAATCACACTAGCTTCTGCTTCTGATGGGTTTAGAACCTTCTGCTTCTAATAATGTAGCAAAATTTATATGCTGTTATTATTCAAAAGCCTATCAAAATGACACAGAATTATGAGATTCAAATTTCAACTTTAATCTTCTATTTGATAATACATTTGGGAATTTATTCAAAAGAACAATAAGAGAACGTTTATTTGCTTCTCTGTTATTATTCAGCACTTGTGGAATCATCTACAGGGTGATAGAATCTATTGAAAAACCACATCGAATCAGCTTTTACCGCATATCCATCTTGATTACGGTGCCAACTATAGTAGGCATGGGTTCGATTCTTGATGTCGAAAGTAGCATGACCAAAACTGGCCTCTCTATAAGCTGAGTAATCGGGCTGTGGTTCTGTCATACTGCAACACAAAAAGAAAAAGTTCACAGATTAAGCATGCAGTGTTAACAAATAGAAAGACGATTGTCATGCAACACCAATATATCAAGCATACTGATATACTTACTTTGTCGCTAAGCCTTCAAGATTTCCTCCATCACCAATCGTAATGTACACTGGTGCATATTGATCTTTCACAGGTTTGCAAATGCCATTTACGATGTTGTATGCAACATTGGATACACGTTCCTGTGTTGTACAGAAATCACTTATCAAGTACTGACATATTGAATCATTACTGTGAACGGAGGTTAGTAGAAGGTTGTATTAGAGACAGAAATTTCTGCAGTATACTCGTCGTTAAATGGATTTCCTATATTTTATCGAAAGATTGAAATGTTTGATAAAGCTGATGTTTCATTGAATTTAAAACTTCGTTGTACAAGCTAAAAGTAGAGAGTAGAGACAAATGTTTTAGGTATAATGTCCACCTCTATGCAGATATCACCACGTCAAGTAATTGAGAAACCAAACTCGTTAATACAGACATGTATATCAAGAACTTACAGATCGTTCATACGCATGGACATGACCAGCAAATACCACGTCGACTTTGTACGTCACAAACCATCGCTCATACATCACTCTCATGGTTTCTCCTTCCATATAGTGATAGTTGTAGCTGTTATACCATGGAGAATGCATTAAAACAATCAACCATGGTGTTTCACTCCTATTAACCTTCGGTAGTTCCTCCTCGAGCCATTTGTACTGAGGGGTGTATTTACCTAAAAATAAGAGAATGATGTGTTAAATGAAATTGTTCAAGAACTCAATTTAACAAACTTCGTACAGATGGCCTCACCAGCTCTCTGGAGATCATCCACTTAGTGTAACGGATGGTTTTGGAAGCATAATTCCATCGTTTGAAATACAGTGAGTCACTACAATTTATCACTAGGTTATATTTGCAAATTTGAGCAACCGTACTGATATTCAAAACGATTTACGTGGTGTCCTTTTTAGAGATGAATTAACTTTGATTTACGGGACATATAACATGGTGCAAAAGAGGAGTCATATGAATTCATCTATTTATCTCATTACGAATATTATAAAAACTATACAGCTCACTTTTCAAGCTTTCCATTTTTCTGCTAAATATGTGCAGTGTCTTTTAAACATATTAAGAGAAAAACCTATGTGTGTGTGTGTGTATGCCCATTCTTACCATATGCCGAATAAGAAGACAAGACTATGATGTATGCCGAAGCTCTCTTGATCGAATACCAAAAGGGGGAAGTACTCCCAGATGCTTTATAGGGAACATGATACCGGTGACTGTAAGGCTTAAAAGGTTTGGTTTCACCCTGCAACAAAAGTGCCAATCATCTTTAGAAAATTACTTCACGCGATGACTATTTTTGGGACTTGTATAATTTATAAACAACACGAGCAGCAAAGGATCAATACACTAAATAACAAACTTGTAACAACAGATGATCTTATCTAAGCGCGAGAAATGACAAATAATAAAATCAATTTCCAGAGAAACCTAATGAGTTATGAGAGGCTTACGATTCCTGGGGCAAAATCGATTTCATGGTTTCCTGCAGTCCATATCCAAGGTTGATAAGCAACACTTCTCTCGATGAATCTTCCCCAAGTATCCCACCTGACATTGTCATGATTTGAGTAGTTATCTGCATAAGAGAGGTCCCCAACAAACAATACTGCTTGTCCTTTCTGCGGGTTTAACTCGTAATGAGTAAGTGTCTTATTTGAATCATAGCTCTGTCCCAGATCCCCTGCAAATGGTATTAGATATAAGCACATAGACCAGAGCCCAGCAATTTACATCGCGAAACACTGACAGTTGAGCCTCGTCATTATTCAGTTCCCGAGTTAAGGCACTCTCTTTCAATTTACGAAGTTGCACATAAACAGGAGTACAAGTTTTATAAGATAAAGAATTATAATTTGGTTGCCTATCTTTCGAGATGTATGGTGGCTCATTGCAACAACCCCTAGCTAGTTAATAGCATACAATTTTCTTTCAATCCCACTTCCAAAATCAGAACCAAACCTAAGTAGCTACGTCACTTTCTGATGCATCCTATTCTGATACGAAACACTCACCTATGAGTCCAAATGTGTAAGAGGCGTCGGGACCAACTTCAGGAGGAGTTATAAACCAGAACTGCCGCTCGGTATGGCCAATTCCAACCACATAGTAGTATTTGGTATTGAACTGCACAAGAATATATATCATCAGATCATAATACAAGTTGCAAGTTATACTTATCAATTCGATCGGCAAATTCCGAAACCCGAGTATATCTTACATGGAGTCTACATCCTATAAAATTTGAAGTAAAAAGAAACCTCAGGGCATATCAAAACTTACCATTAAATTTCTGACAGTGGTGTGGTGAATGTAACCGGAAGTGTAATTGTAGAATTTATAGGTTGTAATTTTGCCCTCGGCCTTCTTTTTCTTGCTGTTTGCACTCCAGTAAAGCACACTACTGGAACCGGGTTCATCCACAGTAACCCATGAAACGATCACTGCCTTTCCCAGTTGGTCTCCTTGTGTAATATGAACCTTAAGTCAAAAGGGCACACGTTTCATACAACTACTTAAAGTTTAGTAAGTCCATGTACATAAACAATGTATAAATTAATGAAAGACACAAATTAAACAAGAAAGGCATAAAGAAATAACTAAATTTAACAAAGCTCTTCCATGGCAGGTATTCTAAATTGGGCTACCATTGACTAAAAGCCTCATAATTCTAGAGAGAGAGAGAGAGAGAGAGAGAGAGAGAGAGAGAGATTACTTGTTGCGGTGCATTATAGCCAGGAGGGACTTTGAATACATCACTGTCAAGAGGCATGTCCACAGTCTTCTCAACTTTCCTCACAAAACTACTAGTTTTGCCTCCATTGCACACCACTCCAAAGCTCAAGACCAAACCCAGCACTACAACAGTGGCCGCTGCTGCCCTTGAAGAAGCTAGATCCAGCACACCCATCTTGCTCAGATTAGCAGAGGACCCTCAAACCCCACAAACCCACATGTACCCTTTTGAGCATACGTCCGATATTTGATCTATATACATACAATTCAGTAATTATATGCTAATATAGAAAAAATTATTATCATAAAATGAGGGGAATATCCATAGCTCTATGCGGATAATATAGACTGGAGGTCAACTGTTGAAAGCTGAAGGCAAGTAGGATTTTGCCTGGATTTTTTTGGGGGAAATAAAATGTTGACTTGTGAAATCCGGAGAGAGAAAAGAGAGGAGGTAAAAAACAAAGATAAAATACTATGTGCTTGACTTCACACTCACAGACGACTTCTTTGTCATTGTTGACCAAGTACGCAAAATAATCCGGACAAGTAGAGTCGTGTGCACACTACCGTTCATACGACGGAAATAGTAGAAGAGTAATGCGGTTTATATTATGTTTTTATCTCGTATTTCTATATTAATTCAGGTGGTATCTGATTTAGACAGACACATTATTTGAAAAATTTGTAAAACCCAAAAAAGAAGAAGAGAAATGACTCTTTGTATACCACAATCATCATTTAATTAATTAGTTTTTCTTAATTATTAGTTTATTAAATAATGAACTAAATTTAAAATTTTGATTAATTCAAATTATGTGGCTGTTCATATCAAATGCCACCTAAAATGGTATGAAAATGTAGTACAAAAATATGATATGAATAACATTACTCATTGTAGAATATAGCTATTGGATGTTGACTAAAGTGCCCAGGAATTAAACAGGTAGATTTGAACACTAGGTCATGCATACCAAAGTTGACAATTAAACTTTGCACTTGTGTCATGAATATAGAACAATCATTTTAAGAAAAAACGTCACTAATACACATTGGATGCAATGTTATAGGGTTATTATCCAAAATGGTCCTTAAGATTTGCATGATCAATAGAAATGGTTCATGCGATTGAAAATCAATAGAAATAGTCCTTGAGATTGTCCACCATCCATGATTTTAGTCATTTCGTTAAAAATGATTTTGGGCAATTTTCAAAGCTTTGTAACTCAATCGTTTTTTAACCAAATTCGACCCATAATATATCAAAATGAAGATAGGAAAGTGTAGAATAAGATTATACCTATTTGGAAGCTCAATGGTTGTTGGAAATGACCGGAAAATAGCATGAAAGGTGATTGGTCAACAGGAAAACTGGAAAACGCGCCGGAAACTGGGTAAACTTTAAAGGTTCATAACTTCTTCAATACTCAAGAAAATCGAGTGATTCAAAAGCAAAAATAATACCTGGTTCTACAAAGTATAAAACAATACTCAACGAAATCGAATTATTGTATGGCTATTCTCCACCTCATATCACACCATATGAACATGGTTCTACAAAGTTTGCTTCTGTGGAGCAACGTTTGGTTGAATGAGACAAGGTTTTGGAGATTCTTAAAAAGAACCTTGCACTAGCTCAAGCAAGGATGAAGTCACAAGCTGATCAAAAGCGACTTGAACGAAGTTTTGAAGTTGGCGATATGGTTTATCTGAAACTTATTCCTTATCAACTCCAATTCTTGGCTGCACACAGTTATCACAAACTGTTACCCAGGTTCTAGGGTCCCTATAAGGTTCTCAGCCGAGTCGGTGATATGGCTTACAAACTTGAACTTCCTACAACTTTTAAAGTCCACTGTGTTTTCCATGTCAACAATCTCAAAAAGCACTTGGGTCCAAATGTGGTAGCCACTACCTTGTTGCCCCAAGTTACAGAAGATGGTCTTCAACAATTGGTTCTTGCCTCCATTCTCCCTTGGCGCATGTATAAGAAGGGTCATTCTGTAGGAGTCCAGTTGCTTGTTCAGTGGCAGGATCAAGATGCCAATTCTACAACGTGGGAGGACTTTGACGACTTCCAAGCTCGATTCCGTACTTTCTCTCTTTAACCTTGTGGACAAGGTTTTCTCGAAGGGGGGGAGTAATGTTATGATCTTGCTTCCGGCTTATTAGGAATTACTAGATCACTATGGGAGTAGTAGTTAAATAAATGGGATCAAGTTGTAATAGAGTAAGGACTAGATTGTAATAGTCTTCTTAATTGTGAGTCTTAGGTTTAATTGAGTTGTCTGTTGTGCCAGTTGACACTCACGCAATTGTAATGGCTAGTTGGTGGTTTAAAAGCCTCAGCCAGCGGTCTTGCAAGCATATATGAAAACAAACAAAATTTCCTTTCTTCTTGCTATGTACTTCCTTTACCCAGTATCTGCCATTTTCATACAGTCAAGGTTATAGCTAGGTATTGGATTGGGTCACATTATATACCATGCTAAAACGAAACAAAAAAAACATGGTGAAAAACTCCTTGATTGTAATTCTCCAATTAACTCAAAATCCCACCGGCTCTCTTCCCTACAAACCTCCTCTTCTTCCTCAAGAGGCATGTCCACAATCTTCTCAACTTTCCTCACAAAACTACTAGTTTTGCCTCCATTGCACACCACTCCAAAGCTCAAGACCAAACCCAGCACTACAACAGTGGCCGTTGCTGCCCTTGAAGAAGCTAAATCCAGCACACCCATCTTGCTCAGATTAGCAGAGGACCCTCAAACCCCACAAACCCACATGTACCCTTTTGAGCATACGATCGACATTTGATCTATGTATATACAATTCAATAATTATATGCTAATATAGAAAGAAATATTATCGTAAAATGAGGGGAATATCCATAGCTCTATGCGGATAATATAGATTGGAGGTCAACTGTTGAAAGCTTAAGGCAAGTAGGATTTTGCCTGGATATTTTTGGGGGAAATAAAATGTTGACTTGTGAAATCCGGAGAGAGAAAAGAGAGGAGGTAAAAAACAAAGATAAAATACTATGTGCTTGACTTCACACTCACAGACGACTTCTTTGTCATTGTTGACCAAGTACCCAAAATAATCTGGACAAGTAGAGTCGTGTACACACTACCGTTCATACGACGGAAATAGTAGAAGAGTAATGCGGTTTATATTATGTTTTTATCTCGTATTTCTATATTAATTTAGGTGGTATCTGATCTAGACGGACACATCATTTGAAAAATTTGTAAAACTCAAAAAAGAAGAAGGGAAAAGACTCTTTGTATACCACAATCATCATTTAATTAATTAGTTTTTCTTAATTATTAGTTTATTAAATAATGAACTAAATTTAAAAATTTGATTAATTCAAATTATGTGGCTGTTCATATCAAATGTCACCTAAAATGGTATGAAAATGTAGTACAAAAATATGATATGAATAACATTACTCATTGTAGAATATAGCTATTGGATGTTGACTAAAGGGCCCAGGAATTAAACTGGTAGATTTGAACACTAGGTCATGCATACTATACATTATTACATCTCATACCAAAGTTGACAATTAAACTTTGCACTTGTGTCATGAATATAGAACAATCATCTAAGAAAAAACGTCACTAATACACATTGGATGCAATGTTATAGGGTTATTATCCAAAATGGTCCCTAAGATTTGCATGATCAATAGAAATGGTTCATGCGATTGAAAATCAATAGAAATAGTCCCTGAGATTGTCCACCATCCATGATTTTGGTCATTTCGTTAAAAACGATTTTGGGCAATTTTCAAAGCTTTGTAACTCAATCGTTTTTTAACCAAATTCGACCCATAATATATCAAAATGAAGATAGGAAAGTGTAGAATAAGATTATACCTATTTGGAAGCCCAATGGATGCTGGAAATGACTGGAAAATAGCCTGAAAAGTGATTGGTCAACAGTAAAACTGGAAAACTCGCCGGAAACTGGGTAAACTTTAAACGTTCATAACTTCTTCAATACTTAAGAAAATCGAGTGATTCAAAAGCAAAAACAATACTTGGTTCTACAAAGTATAAAACAATACTCAACGAAATCAAATTAGTGTATAGCTAGGTATTGGATTGGGTCACATTATATACCATGCTAAAACGAAACAAAAAAACATGGTGAAAAACTCCTTGATTGTAATTCTCCCGTTAACTCAAAATCCCATTGGCTCTCTTCCCTACAAACCTCCTCTTCTTCCTCAGAAGTGCAATTGTTCTTGATGTTGGAGGTCTTGCGATCTTCTCAGGTGTCTTCCTCCTGATCATGTCCGCCACTGTCTGACACCTTAGATCAAGCCGGCCCTTCACGATGAGATAGTTTACAACCGATATTAGGTCAAAGAGAGTGTTCTGGTTGATCTTCATCATGAACTCATCGATCTCTATCAGCAGCAGCCCCTTCGTCTTCACGTTGCCTCCTGTAGTACTCGATGACCTTCGCCAGGATGACGCTCGTCATGTTGACAGAGGTATGGCATTGTCAGAGATCAATTCCTTTTTTGTTTCCCATACTAGTTTGGTAAATCTAAGAAATATTGTCATACTTGATATAGGAAACTATTTTTATGGTCGTCTTTTTTTCTCCATGAATATGAATGATCTCGTTCATTTATTTATCTCAACTTTTTTCATATGTAATCTTATATAGTGTGAACATCACACCATCACGTGATGTTATTAATTCATTTATATTTCATCGCTTACATCTGCTTCCATGCCTAAACGTTAAGGGTTCTTGTTGCCGCTATTAATTTAGCATCTTTTCCTATGCCAAGCAAGAGCTATTAGAGTATAGTTTGAAACTGATATGAGTAATTAGAATGTAGTATAATATATAAATTAGTAACATCATGTATTTATGTGGCCTGTAAGTTGTAACATAAAAACATTTCTCTTTCAACCGGTATGTAAATGGTGCAAGAAGGGTTTGAAATATAATAGGGTAAAGTATAAAAAACTACCTCAACTATTGGTGTCACGACACTTTCTTACCTCATCTTTTAAAATTGACAATGTCATACCTCATCTTTAGAATTTGGTCTAATGTTATACCTTTCGTTACTTGGTCGTTTACTTTTCAGTTAAATGTTGACGTGGCTTGATTTGGAGCCCACTTTCTATTAAAAAAATCATTAAAAAATTATTAAAAACTAAAAAAAAAATATTTAAAAATATTTAAATATTAAAATAATAATAAAATGTAAAAAAAAAAATTTGAAAATAACCCTCAGTTCGTGCCTCGCCTCCCCCTCCCCCTCCCCTCTCTTCTCCCCATCTTCATCTTCTCCACCC